GTTCTTTCTAAAGACTGCCAATGTAGGGGCCTGTCTAAGATCTTTTGGGAGGGTGTTCCAGAGTCAGGGGGCAACCACAGAAAAGGCCCTGTCTTGAGTCCCCACCAAGCGCGCCTGCGACGCAGGTGGAATCAAGAGCAGGGCCTCTCCGGATGAACGAAGTGAATGTGTGGGTTCATAGACGGAGATGCAGTCACGCAGGTAGGATAGTCCCAAACCGTTTAGGGCTTTGAAGGTAAGCACCTGCACCTTGAATTGGGCTCGGAAAATAAACGGCAGCCAGTGGAGCTCCTTGAACAGGAGGGCTGACCTCTCTCTGTAAGGAGCCCCAGTTAACATCCTGGCTGCTGCCCGTTGGACCAGTTGGAATTTCCGAGCCGTTTTCAAGGGCAGCCCCACGTAGAGCGCATTGCAGTAGTCCAATCTAGAGGTGACCAAGGCATGGACCACCCCGGCCAGATCAGCATCTATCAATCCCCCTAGTGCTATTTAACTGAGAGCTTACTGTAATATATTTGTTACCCACCTTAAAATAGAAACTCAAAACATAAAGCCACTCATGTTTCGAGTTAGAACACACAGGTCTTTAATATTATTTAAAATACAGTATGTTTTGCTGCTGAATCTCTGCCAGAGGTCATTTCTCAGTCCAGGGGCAGCTGATGAAAAGGTCCTTTGAGGCTCCATCTGCACTGCCATATATCTGTTTTGAATGGGATTATATGGCAGTGTAGACTCTTATAATCCAAATAAAATAAATTAATATGGATTATTATGATCTGGAGATATATATATATATATATATATATATATATATATATATATATATTCTGTTGCGCGCTGGGCCTGTAAAGAATTTCCTTTGGAACAGGACGTGCAACCTTTGCCCAGCAGGAAGCCAGGGGCCCCAAAGAGAAGTTCTCAGAGGTTTTCCACCCCAAATGATCTTTAGATGGCTCGTGAAGTATAACAAAGTTCTTTATTAATGAACAATCAAACAGAAACTTCTCTTGTCTCCAGTAAAGTTAAACAACTGATTCCAGGCTTTATGCAACTGGTGGCTTCCTAAACTTGCCCACGAAGGACAGGCAATTGTCTTCAATAACTTCTTCTTTACTTTAAAGGAAAATCCCCTTTTTAACTTCTCCCAGGCTGACTGTAATCCAACCCTTACTGATGTGGGCTCTGCTACCGGGTCGAAATACATCTCAAAGCACTGAGTGGACCTACCAGTAAGGGCTTGGATATACTCCAGCTGGAGTTCTTTGGTCTTCCAAACTGTTCACCCTCCAAAATTCCTCAAAGCTTTAGGACTGCTTCCCTGGAAATCTTTGGGTGCTCTTAAGACTGTTCTCCCCCGGAAAGTCTTACGGGTTGAAGCTTTTGTACAGGGGAAGCTTGCACACATCCTGTACATTAGCTTTCCTTGCTGAGACTAATCAAAAATGGCTCCCTTCCTTTCCCAATCGCACTGAGTAAGGGGCGGAACCAAAACTTAACGATGATGGACAGGTGACTTGCCCTAAGACTGCAACCAAAGGAAGCCACCCATCTGCAGAGTCCCTGAAACTTGGACTGCAAGCAAACATTTAATACAAAGCATATATACGTGTGTGTATGTGTATGATAATATAAATGTAGATTCAGCCTGAGTGACATGTGCCAGGTAAGTGTCCCCCTAAGCAACTACAATAGGACATTAAGTCCAGTCATGTCCAACTCTGGGAGTTGGTGCTCAATTTCTAGGCCAAAGAGCCAGTGTTGTCCATAGACCCCTCCAAGGTCATTTGGCTCACATGATGGCATGGAGCGCTGTTGTTGGGTATTTGTGCCAAATTTGGTCCAGTGAATGAAAATACATCCTGCATTTCAGATATTTGCATTATGATTAATAACAGTAACACAATTACAATTAGGAAGTAGCAATAATAATAGTTTTATGGTTGGGGGTCACCACAACGTGAGGCGCTGTCTTAAGGGGTCGCGGCATTAGGAAGGTTGAGGACCACTGTTCTAATGTCATATCAGCCCTTTAGGTCAAGAAGGATATTACAAAATTGCCAAATTCTATTCCAGAACACATTAGTCCACATATGAAAATCTCATATTAATTCATAGCCATTATTATTGAACAAACAGCAGACTTGTGACTTCTCAACAGTTAATATACAGTATTCATTTTTGTCTTTACCAGGGATGCTCTTCCAGATCCCCACAGAACACATCCGGAGTGGTGCAGTTTGCCGTTTGCTTCAGGTGTGCTTCAGACACAGTCCTGGAAATGTTCAGGATGGTCATTACCCAGGTAAGTTCTGTTGTGTTCTGCTGAAGATGATGGATGTTGTTAAGGATTGTAGCATAAGAGTAACTGAGACTACGTCTTGGCTGAAGGGCTGAAAACCTGTGTAATATTTGAATTGTGTTACCTATAAGTTGCATGGTTACTATTTGCCAGATATGCAAGATAGGAAGCTTTTGAAAGCAAGCTTGCACGTTCAGTTGGGTGGATCCATGAAGTGCAGGATCTGGGTTCATATGATGTTTTTTTTTTTGGTTTTTTTTTTTTTGATCTCATGATAAATCACATGGCATTTTCATGAATATAATTAACACATTATTCCTTCAGTAAGCAAATTACTAGGTATTTCTTCCTTATATTTTTGGAGCTCCATTGGAAGCACAGTCACTTCTCAAGAGTGGCAAACCGTGGTTTACCATTCATCTAGAGAAAGCACAGAGACAGTTCACGGCAATGCACCTTGAATCCTTGGGCAGGTAAGGAGGGACACCATCTTTTTTCCCTAGAAGGAAAGTGGGTTGGACAGTGGGTTTTGATGCCAAGAACATCCTGATGGGAATTCCCATCATCCAAGGTAAATACTTAGCCAAGATTGTTAATAATTTAGATTTCATCAAAACTTCAAATTTGTCCCAATGAAATAAAACCATGGGAATGTTCCATGTTTACAAAATGGGAATCTTTGCCTCTCAAGAACCTCATTTACAGAATAATGTTTTCAAACTACATACATTATTTCTGGTTGGACGATTGAAGCACATTCTGAGTTTATTGGCCTGTATCAATAGGAGTCTAGTGTCTAGATCCAGGGAAGTCATGTTACCCCACTACTCTGCCTTGGTTAGACCACATCTGGAATACTGTGTCCAATTCTGGGCACCACAATTGAAGAGAGATATTGAAAAGCTGGAATGTGTCCAGAGGAAGGGTGACTTAAAGGATCAAGGGTCTGGAGAACAAGCCCTATGAGGAGTGGCTTAAAGAGCTGGGCATGTTTAGCCTGAAGAAGAGAAGGCTGAGAGGAGACATGATAGTCATGTATAAATATGTGAGAGGAAGCCACAGGGAGGAGGGAGCAAGCTTGTTTTCTGCTGCCCTGGAGACTAGGACACAAAAAATGGCTTCAAACTACAGGAAAGGAGATTCCATCTGAACATGAGGAAGAACTTCCTGACTGTGAGAGCTGTTCAGCAGTGGAACTCTCTGCTCCCAGAGTGTGGTGGAGGCTCCTTCTTTGGAAGCTTTTAAACAGAGGCTGGATGGCCATCTGTCAGGGGTGCTTTGAATGCAATATTCCTGCTTCTTGGCAGGGGGTTGGACTGGATGGCCCATGAAGTCTATTCCAACTCTTTGATTCTATGATTCTATGATAAGTCTAGTGGGACGGGGAAATTTATTCTTCCCTTTTCTCAGTTAGGTAAAGGTAAAGGTAAAGGTAAAGATTTTCCCCTGACATTAAGTCTAGTCATGTCTGCCTATGGGGATTGGTGCTGATCTGCATTTCTAAGCCGAAGAGCCGGCATTGTCTGTAGACACCTCCAAGGTCATATGGCCGGGATGACTGCATGGAGCACTGCTACCTTCCTGCCAAAGTGGTACCTATTGATCTACTCACATTTGCATGTTTTTTGAACTGCTGGGTTGGCAGAAGCTGGAGCTAACAGGGGGAGCTCACCCCTTTCTCCAGATTCGAACCATCAAACTTTCAGTCAGCAAGTTCAGCAGCTTAGTGGTTTAACCCACTGCACCAGCTGACTGAGGATAAATGATATTTTGCATTTTTAATCTAGTTTGGAGAATTGAAATAAGCATGAATGAAGGGGAGAGAGAAACTGGGACATGTCAAAAAACTATGGAAAAGGGGAGTGACAGAGAACTACGAATTAGAACAGTGGTAAAATATTGTAAAATCCATGACTAGTTTGCTCTTTCTTTGTCTCAACTGGGAAAAAGTTGCCTCTTCATCAAGGATGGGACGATGCCTAGTTTTACCCAGCTAACCATTGCAGCAATTACTGGGAGAGGCATAGATGCTTTTTGACGTTATCTTTATGATCTGCATGTATTATCCATTGTTGTAACCAGTAAACTTAGCACCTTCCTGTTTCTTCTGAAATCTGGTCTGACGAGGTCTTGAACCACTGGAAAGATTTTGCCCTCCCCAGTTTGGAACCACTGCTTTAATTTTTGTTTCTTCTTCCGTCTAGGTATTTAACCATTCCCATACCTCAGTAATGGGTTTTTTCATAGGACATAAAGTGACAGGATTATCCTTCCTGGTATATGGATTTGCGTGGGCCATCAAACACCCCTTGAGGTTCCTTGGCCAGAAATCAAATTATTCTCTACAGATTGAAAAGTTCATGCATTGGTTTGAACTTGTGGAATGGGGAGGCATGGCCATCATCGGCTTCTTAGGTAAATATGACATGCTGTTTTTGTCTTTGTGTAGCATCGGTGCAAACAGAAAAAAAAGACTATTGCAAAGGCACTTATGAACAACTAAAACGAGCATATGTTTTTGTGTCAGACCTTATATTGAAGCCTTCAGCTTAGACCAATGCCTAGTTCTCTGCCTTCCTATGTCACCCTCCCCTCCTTTCCTTCCTATGTTATTGTTGGGGTCCACTGCCCTTATTAATTAGCCCAAACATCTTGGATTGTTTTTATCCACTCAAACTCTGGAAGCCAAGGAGACAAAGTCACCTTACTGGGTGAGCAAAAGTGCCACTCTGAAGTTAAGCGCGGTTCAGTTTTAGAGTAAGAACTTTTGATCATGCGCAAAGTTTAGTGAATATTTCCTTTAACAATGCCACTGGTGGCGATTAGATGGTGAGGTAATAGACCAAGTAAACTCCTTCTCTTATCTAGGAGTAACTTTCTCAGAGACTGGTTCTTGGACTTTTCATCATCAAAGGAGCATACTCAAAGCAAAGGCTAGCCTGAGTATGGTAAAGGTAAGGTAAAGCTTTTCCCCTGACATTTAGTTCAGTCATGTCCAACTCTACAGGTTGGTGCTCATCTCCATTTCTAAGCCGAAGAGCCGGCGTTGTCTGTAGACACCTCCAGCATGACTGCATGAAGCGCTGTTACCTTCCTGCCAGAGCGGTACCTATTAAGCTACTCACATTTGCATGTTTTTAACTGCTAGTGAAGTCGATAGGAACTTTAGGAAGGTCTTCCCTAGGAGGAGGGACCCTAAGACCTCACCAAAGAGGGATCGCTACTTTGACGAGCTAGGAGAGGCCTGATTTCAACAATTTTTATGTCCTTAAAAATTAAAAAAAAATCTCACCAAAGTTGAAGAAGGATGCAATGTAGCAATCATTCGCCTACAGCATGTGGTTACAGAGATCAGAGACATTTTAATAGAAAAAACAGGCTCAGAAGTTTCAAAATTCCCGCCCTCCGCCCGGCTCGACAGTGATTGGCTGACGCGATAATAGCTGGGAGGGGGCTTGGCGGGACGAAGAAGAAACAATGGGTCAATGAGCGGATTAATGGAATTCCTGCCTTGGAGGTCCTGAGTCCGAGATTCCAGCCTGCGAAGGATGCTCAGTCTATTGTCTTTAGATGGATCTGTGATAAGCGTTGGTTGCTTTATCCGGGTTTACCTGTTGCCATCAGATATGACACAATGAAAAGACAGGTGAATGTTTGTTGTGGCAAGTTTTGAAAGGAAAAAAACAGTTTCGGGGGAAAAGACTTTTTGAGGGTCTTCCGCCCCCCAGTGTGATGTGATCAAAGATGCCAAATGAGATTCGTTGTTTGGCGGCCCAACTCAGACCAAACAAAGACCCTCAAGTTTATAGTTCCATGCAGGAGAATCAAGAAAAGGGTTCTTTTTGTGATTGCTGATTGCCCTTTCAACACAGCTGTCAACTTCTTTGATGGGTTTCCCCGAAGGGAGGGGAAGGGGGCAGTAGGTTTGGAGCCAGGGCAAAAATGAGGGAAGAATACATGGGGAAATATAGGAATCACAAGAAATTCATATCAAGCACCTCTCCCACCCCCACCCGCCAGAGAAATTGATTAAAATAATAATTTCAGAAAAACATGTGTCTGTAGTTCATACGGGGGAAATTCATATGTGAAAATGAGTTCATTAGAGCCAAAAATGTTGTGTAGAAAGTCCAACAGTCACAAAAGTCACAAATTTCCACTGAGCCAAGGAACAGATTCCTGCAGCGCCAAGATCGAGCTGGTCCTTGGTCCTTGGGAAACTACAACTCCCTCCAAGGACTGGGACCCCAGGCCAGGCTCTTCCCCAAAAGCCTCATGGGGTAACCACACCGAGTCTCCAGGGCAGGGGCTGGAACGGCAAAAGGCAACAGCAGCACAGCAGCAGCAAGGCCAGTCTTTTGACAATCAGCTGTTTCTTGAAATTATATTCTTAAAACTTAAAAGATTATTCCCTGAGCGTTGAGGCCCGAGATGCAAAAAGTGAGATAGCAGATAGTGTTAGAATTAAGCTAGGAAAAATATGCCACCAAAATGGAGGCGATCCGCCATCTCGTGGATACGGGGGCCCCTGGGGGTTTCCGTATCCGCGGTTTGGAGGAGCACAGATTCGGACTCCCCGGAATGCCTGGAAGGCATTCTGGGCAGGCCCGCAGTCTCCCGCGGTCTGGAAAAGGTTAGTTTCATGCATTTAGATAGTTTCAGCCAAGGAAAGGACACAAAGTAACAAGCTAGAGAGTTAAAAGTTGCAATTTCAGTGATCTTTATTTGGGGATTTGTTACATAGTTGGGGTTTAGCAGGGAAGTGAAAGGAGAGAGCACACGGTTGTGTAGAGTCCCTGGTTGAGCTTGCTGTTGGGGCACATTTCATTAGTTTGGCCCAATTTTGCATCCAGGAACTGTGGAACCCCCTGCTGCTGGTCACACCAGCTTGAAGGCAGGGGCCTTCAAGCTGGCTATTATCAGGAGCTGGGGCTAATAGCAGGAGCTCACCCCGCTCCCTGGATTGGAACCTGCAACCTTTTGGTCAACAAGTTCAGCAGCTCAGTGGTTTAACCCACTGTGTCACTGGGGGCTCCCCTGAATCTAATACTTAAACTAAAAATGCATAGTCATCCAACTACCCTAATCCCAATAATTAAAGTATATAAAGCGAAGTTTACACCTATGCTTTTACATGTAGCAGAAGTATGGACCAAAGTTCCATCTCAGTAATAGAACAAGCACAATCTCAGCCCTTGAGAAAGCATTCTGAGAATAGATAAAAGAACCTTGGCTGCTTCAGTGAAAGCAGAACTGGAAATTTACATAATTCGTGCACAGTTTGAACTGAGAGTGTATAATTACTGGTGTAAAATCAGTGTAATGGAGCCCAATAGACTCCCAAAGTTGTGCCTATTAGAACAGATAAATTCCAACTACAGACCTCCTGGATTACGAAAATGACAAATGATTCAGGAACTTGCGCTCTCCCTGTCTCCTGCGCCTTAAGAGTCCAAGTAAGAAAGACTGCTATACAAAGAATTTTGGACATAGAAGCACAAAAAGACATAGCCACCCTCAATAAGGTTGCTAACCTAAAATAGCTGAGCCAGTGTAAATGTACCTTTCAAATTGCCAACTATCTAAAAATTCAAATGGCAAAACATTTTAGGGGGGTATTTACTCGAGCTAGATTTGATCAGCTTAATTCCAGAAAAGACAGAGGTACTCCTGCGCAGGCTCGCAGCTTGGGTGTGATCCTGGATTCATCGCTAAGCTTGAAGCCCCATGTCTCGGTGGTGACCAGGGGAGCATTTGCACAGTTAAAGCTTGTGCGCCAGCTGCGCCCATACCTTGGGAAGTCTGACTTGGCCATGGTAGTCCACGCTCTGGTTACATCCCGTTTAGACTACTGCAACGCTCTCTATGTGGGGTTGCCTTTGAAGACTGTACGGAAGCTTCAAATGGTCCAACAGCCAGGTTGTTAACAGGAGCGGCACTCAGGGAGCATACAACTTCTCTGTTGCGCCAGCTCCACTGGCTGCCAGTTTGCTTCCGGGCACAATTCAAAGTTGCTGGCTTTAGCCTATAAAGCCCTACACAGTTTTGGTCCAACTTACCTATCTGAAATATCTCTCCTTATGAACCACTAGGCAGTGGTTCTCAACCTTCCTAATGCCGTGACCCCTTAATACAGTTCCTCATGTTGTGGTGACCCCCAACCATAAAATTATTTTCATTGTTACTTCATAAATGTAATTTTGCTACTGTTATGAATTGTAATGTAAATATCTGATATGCAGGATGTATTTTCATTCACTGGACCAAATTTGGCACAAATATCTGATACGCCCAAATTTGAATACTGGTGGGGTTGGGGGGGGGTGTTGATTTTGTCATTTGGAAGTTGTAGTTGCTGGGATTTATAGTTCACCTACAATCAAAGAGCATTCTGAACTCCATCAATGATGGAATTGAACCAAACTTGGCACACAGAACTCCCATGACCAACAGAAAATACTGGAAGGGTTTGGTGGGCATTGACCTTGCATTTGGAGTTGTAGTTCACCTACATCCAGAGAGCACTGTGGACTCAAACAATGATGGATCAGGACCAAACTTGGCACAAACACTCAATATGCCCAAATGTGAACACTGGTGGAGTTTGGGGGGAAAAGACCTTGACATTTGGGAGTTGTAGTTGCTGGGATTTATAGTTCACCTACAATCAAAGAGCATTCTGAACCCCACCAATGATAGAATTGAGCCAAACTTCCCACACAGAACCCGCATGATCAACAGAAAATACTGTATTTTTGATGGTCTTTGGCGACCCCTCTGATACTCCCTCGGGACCCCCACAGGGGTACAGACCCCCAGGTTGAGAAACACTGATCTAGGGCGTTAAGATCTTCTGAGGAGGCCCTGCTCTTGCTCCCGCCTTCTTCGCAGATGCGTCTGGTGGGGACGAGAGACAGTGCCTTCTCAGCGGTGGCCCCTCGACTGTGGAAAGCCCTTCCTAGAGATATAAGATCAGCTTCTTCCCTCCTGACTTTTCGAAAAAAGGCGAAAACCTTGCTTTTTGAGCAGGCCTTCCCAAATATGGCATAGCTAAACGGAATTATGAAATGACTTAACACAATAGAATAATAATTTGACATGGAGATGCTCACGATAATGTTTTAAGGCTTTGTACGGTTTTTATATTGTTATACCATATGCTATTGTTTTTAACAGAATTTCTTGATTGTTTTTACTTGTTATAATTGCTGAGGTATTGAATTGTTGCCAATTTGTGAACCGCTCTGAGTCGCCTCTGTGCCGAGAGGGGCGGTATATAAATATAGTAAATAAATAATAAATTAATAAATAAATTCAATGGTCAGATATGGGAGATTTAATAGCATCCCTTATAATGAACTGTTTTGTATCTGTGGAGGACCTGAAAATGAGGATATAACACACATGTTATTTGATTGTAAACTGTACCAGAAGGTGAGAGACTTGTACCTTGGTTCATATATCAAACGGACAATTTATTGGGATTCCCACAGCAGAACAATATATTTTATGTGTGGCCAAGATCAAAAAATAGCATATAAAACAGATCTGTTTTTAAGCAAAGCAATTCCTTCTGAAAGCCACATATGTGGGGCTGATTGGAGTAAATTGTAGGGGTGATGTGGAAAAATGATGTATATATTCAGTTCTATCATATTTATTTACTGTATTGTTATAAGTGTTTTACTTATTACCATATAGAGTGTAATCAAGTTTTACCAAGCCTTTTTGTTTGGGTTGGTATTGTGATAACCCATCTTGTTGTTGTTGTTGTTCATTCGTTCAATCGTCTCCGACTCTTCGTGACCTCATGGACCAGCCCACGCCAGAGCTCCCTGTCGGCCGTCACCACCCCCAGCTCCTTCAAGGTCAGTCCAGTCACTTCAAGGATGCCATCCATCCATCTTGCCCTTGGTCGGCCCCTCTTCCTTTTACCTTCCACTTTCCCCAGCATAATTGTCTTCTCTAGGCTTTGCTGTCTCCTCATGATGTGGTCAAAGTACTTCAACTTTGTCTCTAGTATCCTTCCCTCCAATGAGCAGTCGGGCTTTATTTCCTGAAGTATGGACTGGTTGGATCTTCTCGCAGTCCAAGGCACTCTCAGCACTTTCCTCCAACACCACAGCTCAAAAGCATCTATCTTCCTTCGCTCAGCCTTCCCTATGGTCCACCTCTCACATCCGTAGGTGACTACATGGAATACCATGGCTTTGACTAGGAGGATCTTTGACTAGGCTAAGGGCTAATCAACAAAATTTACTACTACTACTACTTCTACTACTACTACTACTTTAACAATGCCAACACATTTATTTATTTATTTATTTATTTATTTATTTATTTATTTATTTATTTATTTATTTAGGTTCTGTCAACCCAGCCTTTCTCTGTGGCGCACAGTATACCAGTCAATTCCTTCAATCAGGAATATATAAAAAGATAAAACCATAATAAAACATCTACTGATAAAATCCAAAACATCTGATAAAACCATAGCCTCCTCCTTCATGCCTGCCCCCCATATCCCGAACATTACAATCCCCAAACTCCTCCCATGATTCAATTAAAAGCCTTGTTAAATAAAAGTAAAGGTAAAGTCTTGATCCCTTCCCTAAAGCTGGGAAGAGATGGAGCAGCTCTTAGTTCTTCAGGGAGGGAGTTCCAGGGTGCTGGGGCAGCATCCGAGAAGGAGACTTTTCTAGTTATGCGTAATCACTAGGCTTGTTTGATCAAGAAAAAATTTGGTTCTAAACTCACTTCGTTTCAGGGGGGTGCCAGCATTTCGAATTTCTGAGTACTTCCAAAATTTAAGATTTCAAAATTTCGAAATTTATGAAATTTCATTAATTACGAATCGATTCGTTAATGGCGGACGCATTTGCGCAATGCGCTAAAAACACCTCTAAACGGGACAGGGGGAACTTCTGAAATTCAGGATGAAATTAAAATACATTAAGTTAGTAAAAATACAAATTAAAATCACTTAAAATTAATTAAATAATAAAATAATAAAATAATAAAATAAATAATAAAATAATAAAATAAAATAATAAAATAAGTAATAAGATAATAAAATATCTCCAGGAGGAGGAGGAGGAGGAGGAGGAGGAGGAGGAGGATGGGGAGGAAAGGCAACGCTGGCACCTTTTCTCTCCTTCTTTCCCGTCTTAATAATTACGAAATTACGAAATAATTACGAAATAATTACGAAATAATTACGAAATAATTACGAAATAATTACGAAATAATTACGAAAATTTGGAAAAATTGTTTCGATTCTTAATTACACTTCACACTATTCCTGCATGGCTCGATATTGGATCGTAAGCTAATTTAAATACGAATTAATAACGACTTTAGAAACTAACGAACACGATCAAACAAGCCTAGTAATCACATACTGGTGGGGGCTTGCATGGCAATTCGGGTTTCCCCACTAGATCTAAGTTTGTGTCCTGGGATGTAAATGTTCTGTCCTGCTTGATCCGTAGGTGCTGTACTGGAGCAGTGTGTGCCTGGGGGTCCCTTCTTCAACCTTTACAATGAAACCACCCACCAGTGGGGAGCCCTTAATGTTTGGCAACATTCGACAATGTACATGTTCTTTGCCATGGCTGGAGTGGTGGGCTTCCTCACTCAATGCAAGTTCCAGATCCCCGTGGGACTCGATCATTTCATGTTCTCTCTGGCACTTTTCAATGAAAGTAAGTGTGCGTTTCGTGGGAAGACTGAGCTCGCCTCAGTGGGTTTTGGAAGAAGGCATCTAATGTTCTCTAGAAGGTACAGAATATTTGTGCTCGCTTATGCAAGGTTTACCTTACCTGGCTGTTTCATTTCATATATGCATATTCTTAGCTTTGAAAAGGAAGTTTGCAAAAACAGGTTGCACTGCTCTTATTTGTTTGGGCTATAGAAACTTACCTCATAGAATCACAGAATCAAAGAGTTGGAAGAGACCTCATGGGCCATCCAGTCCAACCCCCTGCCAAGAAGCAGGGATATTGCATTCAAATCACCCTGACAGATGGTCATCCAGCGCCTGTTTAAAAGCTTCCAAAGAAGGAGCCTCCACCACACTCCGGGGCAGAGAGTTCCACTGCTGAACGTCTCTCACAGTCAGGAAGTTCTTCCTCGTGTTCAGATGGAATCTCCTCTCTTGTAGTTTGAAGCCATTGTTCCGTGTCCTAGTCTCCAGGGAAGCAGAAAACAAGCTTGCTCCCTCCTCCCTGTGGCTTCCTCTCACATATTCATACATGGCCCTCATCATGTCTCCTCTCGGCCTTCTCTTCTTCAGGCTAAACATGCCCAGCTCCTTAAGCCGCTCCTCATAGGGCTTGTTCTCCAGACCCTTGATCATTTTAGTCGCCCTCCTCTGGACACATTCCAGCTTGTCAATATCTCTCTTGAATTGTGGTGCCCAGAATTGGACACAATATTCCAGGTGTGGTCTAACCAAAGCAGAATAGAGGGGTAGCATGACTTCCCTAGATCTAGACACTATGCTCCTATTGATGCAGGCCAAAATCCCATTGGCTTTTTTTGCCGCCACATCACATTGTTGGCTCATGTTTAACTTGTTGTCCATGAGGACTCCAAGATCTTTTTCACACGTACTGCTTTCGAGCCAGCATTGTCCCCCATTTTGTATCTTTGCATTTCGTTTTTCCTGCCAAAGTGGAGTATCTTGCATTTGTCACTGTTGAACTTCATTTTGTTAGTTTTGGCCCATCTCTCTAATCTGTCAAGATTGTTTTGAATCCTGCTCCTGTCCTCTGGAGTATTGGCTATCCCTCCCTCTCTTTTGCCTTTATTATTTTAGCTTCTGTTACAAAACCCATAGACTAGAGAATGGTTTGAGGGTTGACTAAGACACTGGGGCACCTGTGTTCAAATTCCTCCGTAGCCACAGAAACTTTATAAGTTAATCTTAGGCAGGTCACTCTCTAGCCTTCTCAAAGGAAGATCTTGCCCACTTTCAACACATTCTGCCTGTATTCGGATTACCTTAGAGCCATCATATGTCAGAAATACCTTGAAGGCATACAACAGCATGCTTATCAAAGTCACCCTAAACCTAAATGTTAGTATTATTGGAACAGTGAGTAGCAGAGGTGATTATGTCAATCCTTTTCAGAGAATAGTTGCTATATTTCAATCCTGTTGGAATCAGCAGTTCTTAAGTTGCAACTAATAGTAGTCCAACCAAGGTCTGTGAGTTACATATGGAATTCTTTTGGTCAAGGACCAGCGTAGGACTATATTGGATCTTGCTTGTTTTGTGGGTTCTTTAATTTGGAATTAGATTGGAAGAAGTGACAAGCGACGACTGAAAGAAGTGACGAGCGGAGTGCCACAGGGTTCCGTCCTGGGCCCGGTCGTGTTCAAAATCTTTATTAATTACTTAGATGAAGGGTTAGAAGGCATGATCATCAAGTTTGTAGACAGGGCCAAATTGGGAGGGATAGCCAATAATCCAGAAGACAGGAGCAGAATTCAAAACGATCTTAACAGATTAGAGAGATGATTGGCCAAAACTAACAAAATGAAGATTCAACAGGGACAAATGCAAGATACTTCACTTTGGCAGAAAAAAATGAAATGCAAAGATACAGAATGGGGGATGCATGGCTCGATCTTGGGGTCCTTGTGGACAACAAGTTAAACATGAGCCAACAATGTGATGCGGCGGCAAAAAAAGCCAAAGAGATTTTGGCCTGTATCAATAGGAGTCTAGTGTCTAGATCCAGGGAAGTCATGTTACCACTCTACTCTGCCTTGGTTAGACCACACCTGAAATACTGTGTCCAATTCTGGGCATCACAATTGAAGGGAGATGATGACAAGCTGGAATGTGTCCAGAGGAGCGTGACTAAAATGATCAAGGGTCTGGAGAACAAGCCTATGAGGAGCAGCTGAAATAGCTGGGCATGTTTAGCCTGCAGAAGAGAAGGCCAAAAGGAGACATGATGAGGGCCATGTATGAATATGTGAGGGGAAGTCATAGGGAGGAGGGAGCAAACTTGTTTTCTGCTGCCCTGGAGACTAGGATGCAGAACATTAACATCAAACTACAAGAAAGGAGATTCCATCTGAACATTAGGAACATTAGGAACTCTCCTGACTGTGAGAGCTGTTCAGCAGTGGAACTCTCTGCCCTGGAGTGTGGTGGAGGCTCCTTCTTTGGAGGCTTCTAAACAGAGGCTGGATGACTATCTGTCAGCAGTGCTTTGGACTGGATGGCCCACGAGGTCTCTTTCAACTCTATGATTCTATTATTATAAGCCATGTTGTATATTGCTATGTATGTAATTTGAGACATAGCACCAAAAGGAGTTGACTTATATGGAGTCAGACTGTTTGTCCACCTCACTCAATCTCTTCTGCTGGATTGACAGAGACAACTCTCTAGGTTTGCAGAATGGGATGGTTCATAGACTTTCTTGCAGATCTGGGACCGTTAGAATACTAAGGACTTGCTTTGCCACTTAGCTCACTTTCGGTCTTCCTTGCAATCATATTGCATTCAATGCATTAGCAACTTCACTTTCCACCCAACTGAATGTTAAAGAACCCATTAGACTTTTAACCACTCAGCAATTAATGAATTGTACTTTTGTGTGTCTTTACTAGATTTGCTCATCTATACCCATGCAAACCGGATGTCTGCTCTGGATAAATACAGCCATCACATCCTGTTAATTCCCATATGCAGCGGGGCTGTTTGCAGTTTGTTTGAGGTGTGGCACAGAAACAACCCAATCCTGGAACTCTTCAGGACTTCCATGTTCATAACCCAGGGAACTTGGTTTTGGCAGGTCAGTTCTGATCATACAGATGAAGATAAGTATCATGATTGACAATGAGTCACACCACAAAAAATGCCTCCAATATGCCCAGGTCTTTCTCAATACAAGTGGCAACAAGAAGATCATCACTTGAGCCATTGAGAAGTGATGGGGCAGTTTTAATCGGCACAAAGTAAGATGCTTCTCTTCATTCTCTCCTTCGGTTCATTCATCCAGCTTGCATTCATACTGTTCGGACCCTCGAGATGGGACCAGAGTGACCCAGAGATCTACGTATTTACGACCCTGTGCTACTCTTGGCATTATGGGAGTGTCGTGATCTTCCTCGCCTTTACCTATGGCATTATCTACTGGTATGTAATGGAGCTTTTTCAAGGTTTCTCAGAATCTCAAAAGTCATGGGCTCATAGAAAGAGCTCTTCCAGGGCACTCAGATTTGGGTCCTGCCTAACAGGAGGACACCATCTCTTCTTGATCTTGGTTGAGCCCAATACAAATAAGCTGGACCGGTCCTCTTGATGAATCCTGCATTTGCCCTGATGCCATTTCCTTCCCTTTTCAATGTGGTTTGACCTTTTGAAAGATCGTTCCAGATTGTAAGACCTTGGGACTAAAGGCCTGTCCTTTCACCCTTGGAAAGCAGCCATGTTCATAGTAAGCCAGGTGGCAAATGTTGAAAACGGGGTTCGTTTGGCACAGGTTAGAAAAGGATGTGGGCCAGGGGTGATGTGGGGTTTAGCCCCATGCATTTGAAGGACACCAGTTGAGTGAAGGAGGATTTAGGACTTTTTGGAGCAATATCTTGAGTTATATCCACGGAAATGTCAGAGCATCAATGCATGAGATACTACTGGCCATAGTAATTATTCCAATAACAGTCACCTGGGTTGAAGGGCGGATGGCAGAAGGTATTAATGTACCCATCGGTCATTGAATCTCTATTTGACCATCTAATACTCCATTTTGGTTTCTGTAGGGTTCTTTGGATGCTGAATAGAAGGAGAGGGAATGGAGGAGAGGCAATGGAAATTCAGAAGTTCAACCAAACAGACACAAAGATCTACACTGCACTTTTGAATGGATCTGATGAAGAATGAAGATCTTTCCTTCCCTTAGTTTAATATAGTTTTTTGACTAAACAATGGGAAGAGATAAATAATACATAGCCACTCTGAGTCCCCTTCGGGGTTGAGATAGAGCAGGGTAAAAATACCGTAAATGAATGAATGAATGAATGAATGAGTGAAAGAATAAATGAAGGATGATTATATTCATTTTCACCCCACTTTTTCCCTCAGTATTGGGACCAAAGCAGCTCACACTTAGAAACATATGAAAGGTAAATATTAAAATATAATTAAATGTATACAAGTATTAAATCAAACAATTTAAACTACATTTTAAAAATAAATAAAGAATTAAGGAATACTGTTTGATATTTATTCCAAAATAACCATTTCGATGACATATGCAGTGAGGAAAGGTGAAAGTGATGGAAATCTCCCTTTCACTGCTGCTTTGCATTGCAGCACACCCAAATACCTGGGAGTCACTCTGGACCGTGCTCTGACCTACAAGAAGCACTTCCTGAATATCAAGCAAAAAGTGGGCGCTAGAAACAATATCATACAAAAGCTGACTGGCACAACCTGGGGATCACAACCAGACACAGTGAAGACATCTGCCCTTGCGCTATTCTACTCTGCTGCTGAGTATGCATGTCCAGTGTGGAACACATCTCACCACGCTAAAACATTAAATGTGGCTCTTAATGAGACATGCCGCATTATCACGGGGTGTCTGCGCCCTACACCACTGGAGAAATTACACTGTTTAGCCGGTATTGCACCACCTGACATCTGCCGGGAAGTAGCAACCAATAGTGAAAGGACCAAGGCAGTGACATCTCCAGCTCATCCCCTGTTTGGGTATCAGCAGCACGTCAACGACTTAAATCAAGAAAGAGTTTTCTAAGATCTACAGAGACACTCGCTGGAACACCTCAGCAAGCGAGAGTCCAAAAGTGGCAGGCTCAAACCCAGAACCTCAACCAATGGCTGATACCAAATGAGAGACTCCCTCCTGGGCACACAGAAGACTGGGCAACTTGGAAGGTGCTGAACAGACTGCGCTCTGGCACCACAAGATGCAGAGCCAACCTTCAGAAATGGGGCTACAAAGTGAAATCCATAACATGCGAGTGTGGAGAAGAGCAAACTACTGACCACTTGCTGCAATGCAACCTGAGCCCTGCCACATGCACAATGGAGGACCTCCTTATAGTAACACCAGAGACACTCCAAGTGGCCAGCTACTGGTCAAAGGACATTTAATCAACAACCAAGCTTGCAAACTTTGTGTTTTGTTTGTTTGTTTGTTTGTTTGTTTGTTTGTTAAAAAAGAATGCAATACAACTGCTTGGTTTACTCCCGAAATGATAAATAAATAACTGCTGGGTTGTTGTAGTTTTTTCGGGCTATATGGCCATGGTCTAGAGGCATTCTCTCCTGATGTTTCGCCTGCATCTATGGCAAGCATCCTCAGAGGTAGTGAGGTCTGTTGGAACTAGGAAAAAGGGTTTATATATCTGTGGAATGACCAGGTGAGACAAAGGACTCTTGTCTGCTGGAGCTAGGTGTGAATGTTTCAACTGACCACCTTGATTAGCATATAATGGCCTGACAGTGCCTCGAGCAAACTTTTGTTGAGAGGTGATTAGATGTCCTTGTTTGTTTCCTGTCTGTTGTTTTGCTGTTGTAATTTTAGAGTTTTTTTAATACTGGTAGCCAGATTTTGTTCATTTTCATGGTTTCCTCCTTTCTGTTGAAATTGTCCACATGCTTGTGTATTTCAATGGTTTCTCTGTGTAGTCTGACATGGTGGTTGTGAGAGTGGTCCAGCATTTCTGTATTTCACTGTAGTGAGCAACCTGGCTGCCGGCCATTGGACTAGTTGGAGCTTCTTCTCAGTCTTCAAATGCGACCACACATAGAGTGTGTTGCAGTCTACTCAGGATATAACACGAGCGTGGACCACTGTGGCCAAGTCAGACTTCCCAAGGCATGGGCGCAACTGGTACACAAGTTTTAGCTGTGCAAAAGTTCCCCTAGCCACCGCCAAGACCTGGGGTTCCAGGTTCAGCGAAGAGTCTAGGATCACCCCCAAGCTGCGAACCTGTGTCTTCAAGGGGAGTGTAACCCTGTCAAGCACAGGCTATAACCCTATGCCCTGTTCGGTCTTGCGAGTGATCGGGGGGACCTCTATCTTGTGTCTTAGAATATGTCTTAGAAGAATCACAATCATACCAAAGGGAGCCCCATTCTATGTTTGTTTAAAATGCGTTGCTCCTGATGACAACACCCAGAGCGGTGCCATAAGAAGATAACCTGCTATAAGAAAAGTCTGTGGTCTGCTTTCTCTCGACAAATTCTGTTTAGGGTCATTATTGCTAACTGTAGCCTCATCCACTGTGCATTCTGTGATAGGAAAACATGCAAAATCCCATTTAGTCACAAAGGCACAGTTGAAGGCACAAAGTCTTCCTCTTGATGCCAAGAGACTGGTTTGAAGATGCTTAAGATTCCACAACGTCGTCCAGGTGAGCTGGATATGAAGAATGAATCTTAAGAATACAAACTTAAGAATTGGTGAAGAAAGATGACTTAACTGAGGGCCTTTGGAGCTAAGCCCTTCTCACATCCATCTGCTGAGATGTTTTGATGGTAGAATGAAAAGAAAGCCCTGCCCTCCTCCCCAGGAAGGTGAGGAGCCAAACAATTAAGCAGGGGAGGCAATTCAACAGATGCAAACAACACTGATAGAAAGCAGTAGATAGCCAAACAATTCAACTGTACATTCACATACAAGTGGGGCCTGACGCGCCGTCACACTATGGAATTCTGAGAGTAGTTGTAGTTTGGCAGCCTTCTCTGCCAAACAGAGACACAACTAAAAAAAATTTTTACATAGTGGTCAGTGTCTTTAGTTTTACTCAGTTTGGTTGCCCAAGTATTTTTGAACAACAACTCCCATCACTTTTGATTATCCACCATGCAGACTGGGGAGAATAGGAATTGCAACCCAACAAGCACTTGTGGCTCTGGGGTTGGGGAAAAGTTAAAGGACATTTTATAATCAGGGATTACAATCCCTGATTACAATCCCTGATCACAATCCCTGAGGTTTGGATTATCACAATCTTAATCCAAACCTCACTCTTCTGATTTAACAGAAGAAACTGCAGCCTTCCAGGTGTCACTATATCACAATTCTCATCAGCTCTAGTCATGATGTCTAAAGATGAGGAATACAGAAGTTGTAGTCCAGTATCTGGAGGGCCAGATAAAATGACACATTAGGCCCATGGGCCTTGAATTTGACAGATGTATTTTAGGTATTCAAATATTACAGGGTATCTTCATCAAGATCTTATTCACCTCTATTATAGTTTTCATCTTTTGTTTGCAAAACCTGAATTCATGCCATCAAAGTGGTATCATCTGCATATCTAAGGTTGTTAATGTTTCTTCCAGCAGTTTTAATCCCAGCTTTGCATTTGTCAAGCTCCGCACATTGCATGATGTGTTCTGCATATAAATTGAATAGCTTGGGTGAGAGTATACAACCCTACCATAAATTATATATATTATTTATATACTGCCTTTCTCAGCCCGTAGGTGAGAAAGTGCATTCCATCCACTATGCTTGGCATTTTACTTGCATTCCTCAAGCATATAGAGGACATGAATAACTCCTTGCACAATGCCGACTTTCTCGCCCTGCAAGTCTCGTGCGGATGCTTAAGGGCAAAGTCTTCTGACATTTCATAACTGGCAGAAGGTTGGAGCACAAATAGTGCAGTGGCCACAAGGAAGGAAGGAAGGAGGGAAGGAAGGAAGGAAGGAAGGAAGGAAGGAAGGGAGGAAGGAAGGAAGGAGGGAAAGGGGAAGGGAAGGAAGGGGAAGGGGAGAGAGGAAGGTGAAGGGCAGTTGTCTTCCTCCCTATCTACAGTCTTCATGTATATTGTAGAGGAAATGTTGCTCTCAGATGTAGAAGAGCACACAAATGATTTCTTAATGTTCAGCATCTTTCTCTGGCCTCTCGATGACAGAGAGCACCACCAAGCCGAGTGCAGCCATGCCAGGATCTTGGTTCACATTCTCTCTCGCTAGAAAAACTCCATCCTCCACCGGGTTCAACATGCAGTGCTAATGAGATAATTGCTACTGAAGCTGAAGTTCTTCGGAGGGAACTGTCACTTTCCTGCAAGGCAGAGAAGGCAAAGCAAGACCTGGAAATACTCCCCAGTAACCAAACATTGGGGGTGCCTTTCTTTGGACAACTGCTGCAACAAACGTGGGATGCACCCAATTACGATATCAGCCTGGTCTCTGTCATTACAATTTAACCAGCTTATTTTATTGTATTCCACTCTTTCCTTTTCATCCATCTTTTCCCTAAGATTGGAATTCAGGGTGTCTTAGAAGATAAAAGTCAGTTCCACAGACACATGTACCACATTGCCTTCTTTATGGCCCATCTTAGCCTGTATTGGTCTCTGCAACATTCCCAGTGTCTTTGCAATTAGTGGGAATAGCCCAGTATCAAGTATGGGTTCAAATAGCAAGCCATAAACATGCTGGTTCTTCCACCAGCCCACCAATGCGCTCAGGATTGAAGATAATTTCTTTCACATCAAGGGTTTCATCAAGGACCTGAAAATAGTTAGGAAAGAATTTTATCCAAGGGATAATTGACCAGGAAGAGGAATATTGGTTGTGGGTTTGCATTAAAAATTCATCTCTGGTTCACAAGAACGAGAGATTATGATCCATTACTGCTGAGTTTCAATCCCAAGTATCAACCTGATGAAGCAGAATGGCAAAGCATCAGTGCAGACTCAGGATCAGCCACACCTGGATGCCTCCATTACATAAACCATTCTCAAGGATGTCAACATAGTCAATACATTATAATAATAGCTTTATATATAGGCCGCCCTACCTTCCATTATATGTTGCCAATACATTATTTTAAAAAAATCCTACGGTGCCAATTTGTTCTTGATAGTTATTAAAAACAGGTGTTACTCCAAACAGCTAGCAAAGTTGTCAAGAAAGGGCAAGACTCAGCAAAGGTATTCATATACTCAATGGGAAGGCTCCCCATGTCCTTGTGGACAACAAGTTAAACATGAGCCAACAATGTGATGTGGCAGCAAAAAAAGCCAATGGG